TAAATATGGAAGCATACATGTATTATATACACACACATAGATACACACACACATTCATACATACATGCATGCATACACACCATATATTTATATGTACATCCATGTATGTGTATGTATGCGTGATATAAGCAAATATAAGTATAATATATATATATATATATATATATACATATATATATATTTGTATATATACGTATATATACGTATACATTCACACACATGAGTATGCTATACATTTGTATCTAAAAGAAAGCATGTACATTTTCCTCGTGATCTCGTGACGTATTTATAAACGTGTATGCAACTGCTAATACATATTACATAAATGTGTATATTCGTCCATGCAATCCCGCGCCTCTCAGCGTCGTTTAAGTGTTAGTTGTTGACCTATTATCTTTTGCTGCCCCGTATTTTTGTATGTCACATCGACTTTTTTAATATCTTTCAAAGTCTGCTTATAGTCTACTGTTGTCCGTACCGTGTTTTTGTGTTTCATATCCTTTGTTTTTTTCTGTCAAGTCTTCTGCACGTTTGGAGCGTCTATTAGGGCAATTGAGACTGTTGGAATCACAAGCATATATTCCACACTGAGTTGACACTGTGTATGAGGGAAGGCATATAAATGTCTTGTTTCTATCCGAAAGTCATTCTTGTGGTACGATTCTCTCCCAATATAATCCCGTCTGTTTGAACAGGTATGGTTCGTGCTCAACGAAAGTAGCATATGGGCGTGCATAGTATACAACCCTGCGGTCATGGATTAATGTAGTTAACCATGTTTGCAATAATGTGCAGTAGATAGCTATGTTTGCAGTAATGTGCAGTAGATAGCTATGTTTGCAATAACCTTTTGTTAGTTTTTTTGGCTGTATACTATTTTTATGTAGCATACACGAGCGCGAAGGCGTGCAATTCCGGTCACAACAGATTCTAAACCACGGATGTTCTCACATTCGCGAATGTGTTTGTTTTTATCCTTTCCTCTTCCCAATTAACAAGTTCCTGTAGCAGTATTTAAATTTATTGAATTTATTCGGTGTATCTGTAGGTCGACGAGATCTTCGGAGCGATTAAGGACGTGCACTTCACCGTGAAGATGTCTGATGGCATGGTCGCCACCTCGTTCAAGAACGGCTCAAAGTTCTTCGTAGGCACGGATAAGCTACTACCATTACAAAGATTTCTGCCCAAACCACCAGCACCAAAGGGTACGTGCGTGCTTGTTTGCTTATGTTGTGTACGTAGTCGTTCTGCACCGGGTTTTGGTCTTGCTGTGTGTTGTATGTCCCGTGTCGTCGAGTTACGGACATGGGGTGCCCTATATATTGTCATGCACTTGTGTTCTGTATAGATAAAGTGGGAGCTTGGGCCATGGCTTCTGTTTATCGGGATGATTATTTCGATCCTTTGCTATGAGTTGATATTGCTTGGTATCGATCAATACGATGTGCGAATTTCTAATTGGTCCCAATTCGGCTGAACGTTATGGGATAGAATCAAGTTAGCTGTGTGGTATTGTAGTGCTACTGGTAGTTTGGGATGAACGATATGCAGAATCGTTCATTCAGTGTATTCGTCTTGTCGATTCAATCGTATAAGTGCATGCTCCGACTATAGTCATTATCTAAAACATATATCTGGTGTACAGTCTAGTGTGTATGGGGATGAAAGTGGGCCATCTTTGTCACCTTGCTTTTTGCATATTGTGCTATGTGTATGGCTGTTCGCTGAGCTGTAAGCCCTGTATTCGTTGTTGTGTGGTATCTGAGTTTTCTCTCGGCACGGGCTTCAGGTGCGTTCCGCTATCAGTTGCAGAGTTCATGTTTTATCTGTTATAGGAATAGGCAAAAAGGCTGATCTGGGATCTTGGAATCGACACACGACACAAGCAGTTGATATGCATGTCTATAAAGTAGCACACACGTTTTATTCATGTTGGTTGTTAGCAAGTCACGTTTACGCTGTGTATCGCCAAACAGTTCAGTTTTTCAGATGTTAGAATGACCACACACCTATACTGCATTTATGTATCACGGATGGTGACAGGCCGGGTGTTCGTAATGTTGTCACGCTCTCAATCAAAGTACACTTTTTCTGTATTCTTATTGACATGCCACATACACACAATCTAAATTCCAAATCGATTACACTTGCACTTGTATATGCACTCCGCAACATCCCACCTATACCCTATTTCGGATACCACATAACAAATATCTTCATGCCTACCTACAACCTTTACCTCGCCCATATACTCATACCGTATTCGTCTGCATATCACAGGTGTTGGCAAGCCCCGTGGAGGTGGTCGTGGCGGTGGTCGTGGCGGTGGTCGTGGCGGTGGTCGTGGCGGTGGTTTCTCGAGAGGAGGTGGTCGTGGCGGTGGCTTCTCAAGAGGCGGCCGTGGTGGTGGCTTCTCCCGAGGGGGAGGCAGAGGTGGGGGTTTCAACAGATAGATATGTAGGTGTTAGGAGAACTTGATTGTATATAATAAAATAGATTGTTCACATTTGTGAGTTTTGGCATGCGCTTTATATGACAGGCCTAGACTATTCTCCAGAGGCTGTGGTGGTGGTGGGTTCTCCCGATAGGGAGGCGGAGGGTTTACCAGATAGATATATATGTGTTAAGCGAATTTAACTGTATATAATAAAACAGTGTGTTCACATTTGGAGTGGTATATAGAGTTCATTGGTATTCGCGTTTTTGGGATGGGCCTGGACGTTTCTCCAGAGGCGACTGTCGCGGTGGTGGGTCCTCCCGAGGAAGAGACGGAGACGAAGGTTGTACCAGATAGATATATAGGTGTTAAGAGAATTTGATTGTATATAGTACAACAGACTGTTCACATTTGGTAGTGGTATGTAGAGTTTGTTGGTATGCGTTCATGAGATGGGCTTGGACGTTTCTCGAGAGGAGATTGCTGTTGTGGTGGCGGGTTCTCCCCGAGGGGGGGGGGGGGTGGGAGGCAGAAGTGGGGGTTTCAACAGATAGAAATGTATTTAGGTGTTAGGAGAACTTTATTGTATATGGCAATATAGGTTGACCACAACTGTGGGTGGTAGGTATGTAAGGATTCATTGGTGTGCAAGTCATGATATGAATTGATAATTATCTCGAATTGTGGCCATGGTTTTCAATAAAAATATATGTAGTGAATATTAGACTTTGTTGTCGGGGTGTATGCTATGAAATACAATACTCACCTCTTGTGTGTAGTAATATTGCGTTAAATATGCAAGAGTTGGTAGGAATTGGTTAAATGTATACTATGAAATAGAATACTCACTTCGCGTAGAATGTACGGATCTATTGGAATAAATATGTAAGAGTTGATAGAATTTGTTAGATTGTATATTATGAAAAACATTACTCCTCTCTTGTGTGTAGTATATAGCTGTAAATACGTAGGAGCTGATAGAGTTTGATAGATTGTATACTATGAAATGAATTACTCAGCTCTTATGTTGATTATGTAAATATTTATTAGTGATAGTACAAGAGTTGATAGGATTTGATTGACTGCATCCTATGAAATACATGACCCACCTCTGTGTGTAGTATGTAAGGATCTGTAGGTGTAACAGAGATGACTCGCGAGGTTTCCCAGAGGAGGTGGTCGCCCTGGTCATATCACATGCTTAATGTTTACAGGTACGACCTCAAGCTTTAAACCACTGCGATACTATATGCCACTGCGATAGTATAAACCACTGCGATAGTATAAACCACTGCGAAACTATAAACCACTGCGATAGTATAAACCACTGCGATAGTATAAACCACTGCGATAGTATAAACCATTGCGATAGTATAACCACTGCGATAGTATAAACCACTGCGATAGTATAAACCACTGCGATACTATAAACCACTGCGATACTATAAGCCACTGCGATACTATCGGCGACAACCCAAATCCCAAACTAGTATCGTGATTGGTCTTGGTTTGCATAGTTGAGTTTCTAGGTCGTTTGTATATAAGGATTGTGTCGTTATAGTCGCACTATAATAATGAATGACACGGGGCAGGGATTGTATGATCCAGAGGTGCAAACGAAATAGGCACACACCTTTATTTAGTATACGTTTCTGCGTTTCAGCAAACAATTTCAAGATGTCATTTGTCATGATAATCGCTCCGCTCATCGAAGCTATTCGTGAACATCATCACGCTCGACAGTATGCGTATTTTGATGGTATTCGATTCACCCATGGTTCACGCACAACCAATTCTGGCGTTTTGGTGTTACCAGTATGATAGCAGTATACATGAATACATCCATATCGAGGACAACGTCAAGTGTAGCGTTGGGTGGCTGGGTTAGCTGTCTGTAACCCCCTCCGGCACCAGTTGCAAAGGATAGGCCTTGGTAAGCGATACCTCAGGATGTTCGCACAGACCTTGGTAGCACTCAATCACAAACATCATTCGCTTGTCTGTCAGGTGAGTGCTAATGCACTCTTTCGCCGTGGGAGTGAGAGCCTCCACACTCGTTGATTGGGCGATCGCGGCTGTGACAACAAATAAATATTAGTGTGCTTCTAGTCCTGGATGGATGTTTCCATGAGTGTGTTTTTTGAGAGGAATGAATAAGATATCGGAATGCAACCGTAGGACGCTAACGAATATTCTTTAAACTAAAAAATATGCTACCATAGAAAAGTTCTTTAGAAATGGTCCTGTATGATCATGCCAATGAATTCTATGACTACTAAATTGCATAGGGGTTAGGAGGAAAAATGTCGCAACAACCATTTGGATCAAGGCTTAGTTCCCATTTGGATCAAGGCTTAGTTAGCGATTGCCGTTCATTATCCCGTGAGTACAGAAGTGATAGCAACCAAACAGTGACGTACCCACATGCTCTGTGTGTGTGTGGCTGTGCTCTGAGCTTGTGCATCGCTGTTTGCTTGTATCGCATTCGAGGGGGTACGAATACCCGACTGATCTAAAGAACATACAAATGCGTATCGACTGGTAAAAGGATACAACAGTCTTTGTGGGTTTGCAAGTTTCTGTGCTGCCAATACATATGCGAATATCAGGCTACTGACTTGTGCGTGAACACTGAGCCACTGTCTCCTGCGCACACATATTGAACGTGTACATTGGGACTGTGCCTCACATCTAATATTCTTGTGCAGTACCATAGATACATAGATACATATATACATATATACATATATAGATACATACATACATACATACATACACACATGCATGCATACACACATAGATACGTAGATACATGGATACATAGTTACGTAGATACGTAGATACATAGTTGTATAGATACATGGATAAATAGATACATAGATACATAGATACATTTTGTTTTAGTGCAACGGTAATGAAACACCCATATTGGGTCGTGGAAGCGGATATGAACCACACACGGCTTGTAAACGCGCACGTACAACCCACCTAACGCCCCCAGACAGCCCATCTAGGAGGTGTCTAGACAGGAATCACTTGTACACAAACAAAACAAACGTCTCACCGCACACACTTTTACGGATGCATCTGAAGCTGCCAACTATACGTAAGTCGGTATACCATACAATGGTCACGACACTGACAAAACAAGAACAACCACCACACACACCTTCTGTTTCTTCGTTAAATGTGTGGGGCGGCAACGCTTGTACAATCCATGACATTGGATTAGGGCCGCAGACTTCTTCTGTCTGTGTGTGCAAGACAAGTATCGCATTCATTAGCGAACCAAAACTATGTGTTGAGACATATTTACAATTGGACCTTGATATGTATATAGGCCGTGTCATTTACTACACTGTCATGAAGACTTGTGGTGCTGAGCCGCCCATTGGTGCTTTCTGCGATAAAAAGAAGTTACTAGCGATCCGTCTCGCAACGCTTGTGTTAAATTTAAGCCAATGCCAATCGGATTCTTTGACCTCCAAGACGAACTTGCCCATACAATATATCTGATCAGAAGTGTGTCGACTAGGACGGTAGCCACAGCTGAAGCCCATGCACTCCCAATCACAAATAAGCATAGGCTCCCTCAGATGCACACCATGAAGCCCATGCACCTCCAATCACAGAGAATACCAACCAGACCTACCGGTTCCATATTTAGCAGCCGTTGGGTCTGTTCGATGGTCAGTGTGACGAGCAACTCAATACTGGCAGCCCGCGGTTCTTGTGACAGAGTTCGAACCGTCACGATCCAATAGTACCCCGCCGATGGATCCAGAATCGGCCTGTTATCCTGCGAAGCGATAGAGTAGACCAAGCCGATTGTGGGGTTTAAGACATTGCAACTCTTGAAGCCACTCTTGGGCAACCCTACGACGCGACAAGGGTCGGTGAATTGAACGCAAAGAGGGATCCAACCACAGAGTCTGGTAGTGACTCCCAAATAGAACCTGCCGATTTGCAACTATGGACGAACAAATCATCATCGCATTCTAAACACGACCACGGCACTTCACACAGCGAGTGTGTGGGTGCAGGACACAGCCATGACTCTGGCGGCTACGGCCCAGGACATCGATTAATAGAAGGCGGAGAACACCACACGCTACACTCGAACGGGAGATACCTCAAGGGCACCAACCGAGGCATGAAGTTCATGTTTCAATTAAAATGAAGACATGTTTCAATTAAAATAACACAAGTACTTTCTCCAGGCACTTGGGGGGCTGATTATCAGATTGTGCACAAGTGAAACCAACATACATCGTCCGATTCTCTTATATCGGACAGAACCGTATCCGTAGAGGTAGGAAGGTGAGTGGCACAATTCGCTTTGGCACTTACATCCACAGAGGTCGGCACATATCCGTGTTTGCCTGGCGAATGGTTAACAGAATGAGGACCCAAAATCAGAAAACAGTGCGTGCTTAACGTGTTGACATAGCGTTGAAATATTCGATAGGTATACAGAGCCTGTGTGTATCGCTCACGAAGGCATGCGCCCTATCTGACTATGGAATACAGTCCTCTTGTGATAGTTTGTGGACATTTGATGTGGCTAGTTCAGCAATGGTATCTGGGAACGTGTCAAGTTGCCACAAGGTTTGTAAACATAAGGGCAGTTCAGTGCATGCAATTCCGAAAGCCACAAGTTCTTAATTTATCTTGAGTGGTCCAAATGTACGGTAATTGAGTATACTGTTAATTAAGCTTATGTAAAATACTGTGCGAGCTATTTAGAGTCCACGCGTTCAGCTGGAAAGGCCGTTAACACACCCATATACGAAGTCGAAATTAGAGCTTGCAGGAAGCTCCTGTACGACCGTAGGTTTGTTAATCCCCAATCAACCCAGCTTCCTATGAAA